AAGGCTGACCAGTCCGAGTACCAGTGCGAATCACGTAAGAGCAGCGAACAGCACTAAGAGGCCCTCTACTCTAAGCGTACCACTCACGAAGCTGGTGAGGCGTGAGAGACACGCGGGAGGGCCGCGGGAGCTGCATCTGGCCGCCACCAGTAGTAGGAGCAGCAGGAGTGGTAGTAGTAGTAGCGCCTCCACCCCTATAGCCCCAACCATGTACCACTCACGCAGCTGCTGGGGCGTGAGGGACTCACGCAGACGTCGCTGGGGCTGCATCTGGCTCCGCAAGTAGAAGCAGGAGCAGGACTAGCAGCAGTAAGGCAGGCAGCCAGGCAAGCCAAAAGGCAGACAAGCAGGCGACGCGCAGCGTGCTAGCAGGGCAAGAGCTCACCAGTGGTGGGAAGAGTAGGCTCGGCGACTCAGCGGCTCGGCAGCACGGCGGCTCTGCGGCTCGGGCGACTCGGGCGGCTCGGCGGCAAGGCGGCTCGGCAGCAACTGCAGCTCAGCAGCTCGGCGACCCGGCGGCTCGGCGGCAGGGCGGTTCGGCTGCTGGGCGGCTCGGGTGCAGGGCGGCTCGGCGGCGGGGTGGCTCGGCTGCTGCAGTTGGGCGGCTCGGCTGCTGCAGTGGGAGATGAAGGAGGAGGAGAAGCAGGGGAGACCACACACTTGCCACCCCTCTGCTGGCCTCTCCGCAAGCGGCCCCCTCAGGTCGCCTCGACAGACGACGGGAAAAGGGGGGAGGGGGAAGCGGGGCCGCGACGGGTAGGGCAACGGGCCGCGATGAAGAGGAGGCGGGGCCGCGAAGGGGCGGCGGGGCCGGCGAAGCAGGGCCGGCAGGTGCAGCGGCGGGGACGGCGGGTGCAGCAGCGGGGCCGTCAGGTGCAGCGGCGGGACCGGCAGAGGGGACGGCGGGGCCGTCAGGTGCAGCGGCGGGGCCGGCAGAGGGGACGGCTGGGCCGTCAGAGGGGACGGCAGGGCCGTCAGGTGCAGTAGCGGGGCCGGCAGAGGGGACAGCGGGGCCGCGTCTGAGCGGGCGGCGGGGCCGCGGCTGAGCAGGCGGCGGGGCCGCGTCGTAGCGGGCGGCGGGGCCGCGGCTGAGCAGGCGGCGGGGCCGCGTCTGAGCGGGCGGCGGGGCCGCGGCTGAGCAGGCGGCGGGGCCGCGTCTGATCGGGCGGCGGGGCCGCGTCTGAGCAGGCGGCGGGGCCGCGTCTGAGCGGGCGGCGGGGCCGCGTCTGAGCAGGCGGCGGGGCCGCGTCGGAGCGGGCGGCAGGGGCCGCGTCTGAGCAGGCGGCGGGGCCGCGTCGTAGTGGGCGGCGGGGCCGCGGCTGAGCAGGTGGCGGGGCCGCGTCTGAAATGGCGGCGGGGCCGCGTCTGAAGGGGCGGCAGGGCCGCGAGGGAAGGGCGACACGGAGGGTCGCTCGAGCGAGAGGAAAAAAAAAAAGTTAGCGCGCCTCGGGGCGCGCTTCGGTGGGCCCTAGGCGAAGTTCCCACAGGGAACCCGCTCTATACCATGTGAGAATTGTAGAACAGGAAATGAAATGACTAAGTGGAAGTTGAGTACAAATGCAAACCCTAGAAAGCTGTACCCCATATGTGCTACCCCACTATAGCCTACAACAGCTATGTCATATATATCTGACAGACTCTACCTTCGCGAGCTGCTGGAAGAAGCGAAGTTAGCCGAGTTACCCAACTTCACCCTGTTCTGCGACAACTAATCTGCGATCCTCATCGCCAACTAAAGCGGATTCGCGAACAGAACGAAGCATATCGCTCTGCGATATTTCTTCGTGAAGGACGAGATCGAGAAAGGGAAACTCGAATTATCCTACTGTCCCACGTCCGAGATGGCAGCTGACTACTTGACCAAGAAACTCGGTAAACAGAAGTTCGAGTACTGCATGCTGCTGACTGGAGAAAGCCACGTCACCATCAACGACACTCCAGAAGCGAAGGGGAGTGTTGGGAACAAATAAGTCTTAAACGCCTCTGTTCTGTCGGAACTCCAAGACACAAGCGAAGCAACACAATCGAAGCACCAGCGAGTCAACCCTCGGAGGTTGATGTAACCGCTAGAGGTTACGCGAAAGTCACAGGTCAGCGACCTTTGACCTGACAAATGCAGCGCGACAGCAAGGACACACAACTGACTCGACATTGAGCAGTTGCCCGAGTCGCACTGTATCGAACCGCAACAGTAAAACAGTTACAGTTATGTCTCTTCATATTCTCTGTATTCATATATACATATATTCTTGTATCTCTTTGCTTTAATCAACTTACTTTGCCCTCATATACTAGCGCAAGGTGGTTCAATGATTTTATACAAACGCTTCCGCTACTACAACATTTACTCAGACTTTAACTCTACTAAAGATCCTAGGGCGTCTCAGCCCAACAACATCAACCTCCGAGGGTTGACTCGCTGGTGCCTCGATATGCTCTGCTTCGCTTGTGCCTTGGTGTTTCGACACGACAGAGGCGCTTAAGATTGTTTGTTCCCAACAAGGGATACATTCCCTTATTCGAATTCAAACCCAAACATGTTCTCGCCAATTCCCTCGCCCCTGCAGCTGCACCACGCTGTCTGCTCCAAAAGTTCAGATGCTCTTGTAACCGTACGCGATTCTTCGCTTCATTCAGCGTGTTCGCATCCAGCCTCAAGATTGTGTGCTTCACTTTGCTGCGGTTAGGATTGCACAATCTTATTTCGCTGTTCGTTACATGCTCAAGTAATCGAATTTGGAAAATGCATGACACGTTATCAATACTAGCAATTAGCCGTTAATGTCATCAATTGGTTTGTCAAAAACATTTATCGCATATAAGCTTGAAACAAGAGAGAAACAACGGTACAATTCTCTAACTAAGCTGAGGCGCACCTTTTCGAAACAGGGCACCTGGGCTTGGGAGAGGTTCGGATTGGCGAAGTCAAAAACATACCGAAGTCATCCAACCCTGGTTTTGAAACTTTGGGAGACCTACGCCAAAGTTACTTGTTAGCTTCTGCAGATACTAACAACATACTCTCATCCACGCGACATGACAGTTAACTTTCTCAAACATACTGCACACCCCGACCCATTTTTGGGATGATGTCCGCCCGTAGCAGCAGCCGCTGAGACGCGTCCGCGCGCCGCGACGGCGCCCATGCGCGAGCTTCGAGCCGCGCCGCCATGCTCCTCGCCGCCGCGCTGCGCCACTGCGCCCGCCGCTACCGCCAGGCCGCGGATCGTTTGCCCAGGTAGGGGGGAAGCGGAAGGGGCTTTCCGCGCGATCGCGTTCAGCGTATGTAGAAGGGGGAGAGGAAGCAGCAGGGCCGTCGGAATCACGGGAGGAGGGTGCGGTTGTGGGGTGGGCGTGCAGAGGGTGCGAAGGTGTTAGAAACCTCTATTCCTGAGAGGGTGCCGAAAGGACGTGTTTTCTCTCAAGAGGTCATTATAAGGCGTAAGATAGGAGCTTTTCCCCCTGTAGGCTGCGTAGCATCGGGTTGTTCTTCGCGCAATGGCGCGTGTGTCCTCACGTTCGTGCGTTCATGGGTGATCGAACACTCACCACTCACATGCATGCGCTCTCATCGCCTCTCGTCTTCCCCGTGGCCCCCACCGCCCATGCTCACCCTCAACCCCCTCGCATCCCCCGCCCATCCCCCTCTCCCGCGTGTCTGCAGTGCGCCCCTTCCATCGCCTTGCGCGCACACTCTTGACGCACCTGCCCTCCGCTCCTCCCTCCCCCTCTGCCTGCAACTCGCTCCGCCCCCGCCCCACACCCTCACACACACCCATCGGATCCTCCCCATCCCCGCTTCCTGCCAATCTCTCCGCCCATCACCCTCATTACAACCACCATCAACACAATCACGAGTCGTAAAACCACTTCCTGCAGGCCTCACCTTCCCACCACTCCCACAGTCACACGCGCCTCTGTGTTTGGAGAAACCTCCTCCAAGTGACCCCACATGCCCACACACACATGCCTCCCCGCCCTGCCCTCCCCCTCCCCCTCTCCCTCACCACCTCCGCCTCGCGTCTCCTGCTGGCCACAATGAGGTGCTGCCTCGTGTCAGTTTATCGTTGGCAGGGAGTGGTGTGGAGTGGGGGGGTTGTGGGAGGAACACGGGAAGAGGGGGAGTTTGGGGGAGAGGATGGGGGGAGGAAGTGAAGAGGTGCGTGGGGAGAGGTGCAGGGGCAGCACGAGGAGGAGGCGAAGGAGGGGAGCGAGGAGAGGCGAGAGGAGGAGGGGAATTGACGAGGGCGTGGATTAAGGCAAGGCGGTTACATGGCAGTAGTGCAGTGATGGGAGAGAGTGTAGTGGCTAGGAGGGAGGGGGAGGCGGAGAGAAGGGAGGGAGAGGTGGAGCGGAGGGATGGGGTGGAGGGGAGAAGGGAGGCCGAGGTGGAGGGGAGGGAGGTGGGGCAGGGGATAACGGAAGGGAGCAGAGGGGACAGATGGGGCACATGGAGAATGGTAGAGATGGGAGGAATAGGAGGTGGAAGTGGTATGCAGAAGGGTTTAGACGGGGAAGGCGAGGAGAAAGAGGGGCAGGGGGAGTTTAAGGAGACGGAAGGTGATGCTGCGGACGAGGAGGAGAAGAGTGCACGGTACCATGCAGGTGAGTAGGGAATGGAGGGATGGGAGTGATGGGAGGGATGGGAGGGGAGGGAGGGGAGGGAGGGGAGGGATGGGAGGGGAGGGAGGGGAGGGAGGGGAGGGAGGGGAGGGAGGGAGGGAGGAAGGGAGGGAGGGAGGGAGGGAGGGAGGGAGGGAGGGAGGGAGGGAGGGAGGGAGGGATGGATGTGAAGGAGGGAGGGGAGGGGAGGGAGAGAAGGGAGGGAGGGAGGGTGCGGGAAGTCATGAATCATGATGGGGTGATTGGACACAGGTTTGCTCACGGGCGTCCCCAGCACCTAATCTGTTCTCAGCTCCATCACTTACTCGCCGTTGTCCCCCGTCCCTCCCAAGTCGTCGCATCACACCTTTGTCGAACACGAACGAACCCCAGCCGCCATGCCCTCATGTCCTTGCCAAATCACCCTTGCCCGCATAATCCCCCTCCTCTCCCCTCGCCATCCCTGCCCCTCCCCACCGCGTGCTTTCGGAACTCCAGAGGCGCTGGAGAGTCTATGGGCGGTGGTGCAGCATGTGCCTGAGGGCAGTGCGCGTGTGCTGCCCGCCGTGCTCTCCTGGCATGCCCACCATACCGCCGCCCACCCTGCAGACGGGCACGGCCAGCCACTGCCCAAGGAGCTGCTGCTGGCACTCATTGGGCGGCTCAAGGAGCGGCTTCGGCTTGTGCACGCGTTTGAGGTGCGACCCCTTAGGGTGCTGTGGGGTGCTGAGGAATCCTGGAGGGTTGCTGCGGGGTGGGAAGGGCCAGGTTGACAGGAGGAGGACAATCGGGTAGCAGCGCCCCCCCCCCACCAAACCCCTCCTCGTCTCCGTCTCCCCTTCCCCATTGCCCTTCATTGCACGTACGTATTCATGCGTTCACATGCATGTGCGCATGCACGCACGCACACACACACACACACACACACACACACACATACACACACACACACACACACACACTGATACACCCTTGCACGCCCACACACACACACACATGCGCGCGCGCACACACACACGCACACACACACACGAAAGCGCATGCGCGCTTCAAGACATGGTATGATGTGGATCAGAAATTAACGCCCTTTGTCACCTCCCCCCAACATCCACCCCCTCATCTCCGCATCTCCACTCCCCAATCCCCCGATCCCCCCCGTCTTTCATCCGCCTCACCCCCCCAGGTGGCAGAGCATGTGGTGCGCAGCCCGCACTACTGGCTGGGCAAGGCAAGGTGTGATGTAGATAAGAAAACAACTCCCTTGCCACCGCCCTTAAGTGCACTTAATCTGACACTCAATCCCCCATCCCCTCATCTGCCTCTCTCTCCGCAGGTGGCAGAGCATGTGGTGCGCAGCCCGCACTACTGGCTGGGCAAGGAAGACTGGAGGATGTTGCTGGACGTCTGCGTGCGGGCAGGCCGTGTCACGCGGGCAGAAGAAATGTTCACCCTGCTGCCCAGACATCTGCAAACGGAGGAGGTACTTGGGGGGCGTGTTTGGTGCATAGAAGCAACCAGGTCGTGCCTTGTCATTCAACTAGGGTGAACTAGGGTGAACTAGGGTGAACTAGGGTAAACTAGGGTGAACTAGGGTAAACTAGGGTGAACTAGGGTGAACTAGGGTGAACTAGGGTGAACTAGGGTGAACTAGGGTGAACTAGGGTGAACTAGGGTGAACTGGACCCTGGACCCTATCTTTTGCCGTCCCATCACTATCTGTGCCTTGTACACATTAACTGCTCACACTGTACACCCTCGCGCGTTCCTTGTCCCCCGGATCGTCGCCTTGTGTCCTTCTCTCTCCGCGCGGGTGGGGACTGTGGCTTCTCTGTTGAGTCGCCTCAAACCCGTGGCTCGTCTTCCGCTCCCCCTACCCTCCCACGTGTACATGTGCATTCTGCACAACTATGCACGGCGAGGGCTGGTCCTTCTGTTGGGATCGGCCCAAGCCCATTGCTCTCATCCCCTCTTTCTTCTCCCCTCCTCCCCACTCCCTCCCCTTCCCCCTTCCCCCTTCCCCCTTCCCCCTTCCCCCTTTCTCCTCCCAGGTATACATGGGCATTCTACACAACTACGCGCGGCGGGGATTAGTGCGGCGGGTGGAGTCGCGAATGGTGATGCTGCGCGCCCTGGGCGTGCGCGAGAGCGCGCTGGGGTTTGAGGCGCGCATGCTGGCGTACGGCGTGCGAGGCCTGCCGGGGGACGTGGAGCGTGTTGCACGGGAGATGGCAAGCAAGGTGCGGTGGAAGGGGGGTGAGAGGGGGGCGGAACTGGGGGAAAAGAGGGGGGGGGGGGGGGGGGAGAGGGGTCAGGGACAAGCAAGGTGGGGGGGAGGGAAGTTGGGGGCGGGAGGTGAAGGGGGGGAAAAGTGGAGGAGGGGTAGGGGCAAGGGTTAGCATAGGGAGGGGTGGGGTAGGGGGAATGGCGGAGGGGAGTGTTGGAGAAGTGGGAATGGTGATGTGGCGAGGGGAAGAGGGGGTGCGTGACCGGATAGGGAGAACATGTGGGTGGAGCAATTGGGATGATGCTTACAGGTCATAATCACCATCATCACCACCACCACCACCATCATCACCATCATCACCATCATCACCACCATCACCATCATCACCACCATCACCACCATCACCACCATTACCACCACCCTCCACTGCTCACTCCCTTTCACCCATCCCCCAGTCCATCCCATCGTACTCCTTCCGTCACTCAACCCCCTATCTGTTCCCCCCACCCTTTCCACCATCCCCCCAGGGCATCCCCCTCACACCAACGGCCTACGAGTATCTCATGCAGGCCTACGCTCTTCGTCGCCACCCTCAACCCCCTATCCGTTCCCCCCTCTCCCCCGTTCCCCCGTCCCCCCAGGGCATCCCCCTCACGCCAACGGCCTACGAGCATCTCATGCAGGCCTATGCGCGGCGCCGCCACCTCCCATCCATCCGCGCCCTCCTGCACCGCCTCGCGCACTCGCCCTTCCCGCCCTCCCTCCCCACGCTCACCGTGGCCGCCTGGGCATTCTTCTCCCAGGGGCGCGTGGGGGAGGCTCAGGGGGTGGTGCAGGAGATGCGTGCGCTGCAGGCGGGGAGGGGGGAGGGGATGCCGGTGCCGGTGCTGGTGGGGCTGGCGTGGGCGTATGCGCGGATAGGGGATGTGCGGCGGGTGGAAGAGGTGGTGGGGGAGCTGGAAGGAATCAAGGGGCATGAGCTCAGGTGAGAGTCAAGAGAGACACGGCGGGCGAATTGGGGGGAAGCGGGGGTTGGGGGGGAAGGATGTTGGAGATGGGAGAGGTTGGGGTGAGGGGGGGAATGGGTTGAATGGAGGAGGGGTGAGTTGATCTGCTAAGGCTAGGTTGTGCAGCGGTGAGTCTTGGATTTGGATTTCCCATCCATCTGTCACCTTGCTCCCCCCTGAGAATGTTTTGTTCATCCTGCTTCACCACTCTTCACCCCTTTCTTCCTCATTTCATCCCTCTGCACCCCTCCCTCTGTTCCTGTCCTATGCAGGATACTGCACATGGCTCGAATTTACTGCTATGCTGTGGCTGGCCGAGTGAAAGACGCTGAGAAGGTTCCGTCTATCCCGCCCTTTCCCCACCTGTACCCTTCTTCATCCCATCTTTTTACCACGTTCACTCCCTAAACCCCTGCACCCCAAACCCCTAAGCTTTTTCCCAACGTCATTCTTCCGGCAAGACTGCCACTGTCCCGCTCTTGTCCTTCTTCCCAACTCTTCTTCCAGCATTCATTCCTCTCATCCTCCCCTATTCTCTTGTCTTCCACCACCCCCCCAACACCAACTGCGTTAAGTCCAAACCAAGCCTCACCACCGTGCTCTTACCCTGCCTCCATCCCATCCCATCCCATCCCATTCCATTCCAACCCCTCTCCACCACAGGCCTTCGCAGCCATGCAGCAAGCAGGCCACGCACCAACAACAGCAGCCTACAACTGCCTACTCATCGCATACACACGCTCCCACCGCATGCACGACGCGCTCTCCCTCCTCGCCACCATGCGCGCCTCCCACATGCTCCCTGACGCCACCACTTACCACCACCTCATAACCGGAGCACTCAATAACGAGGATATAGACAGTGCTGTGAGTCTGCTGCTGCAGGCAGCAGCAGCGGCAGCAGCAGGGCATCCATGGTCCTGGAAGAGAGGAAGTGCCAGCCCACGGGTTGATGGTCCAAACCCCGTGGTGGATGCTCAAGGGGAAGACCACGGGAGTGAGTGGGGCGTGCGGGATGGGGGTGGTGTGGGTGCGCGGAGCGGGGTAGGGAGTGGCGGATGGGTGCGTAGAGCGCGGGTGGTGGGTGGGCGGAAGGGCGATAGGGGGCGGCGGAGGTTGCAGGTGAGGGTGGGGGTGTTTCTTGCAGTGGTGGAACGATTAGCAGAGGCAGGGGAGGTGGAGAGGTTAGAGAGGGTGGTGAGTGAGGTGGGCAAGGGTGTGTATGCGATGGATGCTGGGATGTACAATCTGATTTTGGGGGCTGTGTTGCGGGGAGCCAGACGGGGGAATAAGGGAAAGGGAGTGGGAGAGGCCGGGTGGCGCGGGGTGGAGGGTGAAGAGGAGAAAGGAAGTGAGGTGGTGGTTGAGGAGGACTCGAAGCGAGATGGAGATGATGGGGGTGATTTCACTGGTGATAGTGGTGTGAAGGATGTTGGGGTGGAGGAGCAAGGGCAGGAGCGGCGCGTGGAGGGGGGGGTGCGGCGCGTGTTGAGATTGTTGCGTGCCTCGAGAATACGGCCAAATGTGCAAACGCGGGTCATTTTGGCAGGTGTCGGTTTAGTGCGTTTGCTTGATGAGGAGGGGCTTTCCGAGGTTGTGCCACGATGATCTTCTGTGATAATAGTTGTTGCGATCAGAAGTTGATCGAGCACAGGATCGTCTCAGGAAGGTTCGCACACTACTGATTCTGTGGTGGTGGGCCCTTGACCTCAATAGCAGAGTGAATGTAGATGCTTGAGATCATAAGAACATGCAGATACAACACTATAAATAAGAGTACAGGGGAATACCAATCGACCTAGCTAGCCATGTACTCCAAGGGGTACATTCCCTTATAACAGCGAAATCCAATCGTGCGACTCCAGGTGGTTACGAAACTGTTCGGGCAGAATCCTCACCACTGCTGCTGCCTGATGCTGTCTGCTCGACGGTCCAGATGCTTTCGTAACCGTTCGTCCCTTCGTGTTACTTCCGCCCTTTCGACTTCAACCTCCGTAGTGCGTGCTTCACTTGCTGCGGTGAGAAGTGCACTGTGATGTTTCATTAATCACTATTCGTAACCAGGCCCTTCATATTCGTTTTTGGCCTGTCTGATTCGTCAGACTAGTAGAAAATTTTAGTCTGAAAGTCTCGGAGTTGGTATTAGAAAAATGCTGAAATTTCAGAGTGCCTAAGAAAAAAAGTCTGAAACGTCAATGTATCTAATGTGTCATCAGAAATGTATTCAAAGTTCCATCTGATATCGAAACATGCTAGACTAAGGGGATTTTTGGGAGAACATGCTCTGACAGGGCGGATTTCTGTGTCAGGGCGAATCTTGTGGTGTGAAAGGGCGAATCTGCAATGTCAGGTGATTGGTTGAAATTGTTGTGCTCTGGGCTATTCTCTTGGTCAAAAAATTTGTGCTGTAAGGTGTGGATTTGCTGTGTTAAGCAAATTTCGCATTGACAGTGCGAATCTGCTGTGACCCATGAAGTCCAAACTCACCAGTCAAGAAAGCAAGCAGGTACGCGTTTGTACTATGAGTGATCAGACTACACTCCCGGAAAACTCTGAAACGTCAGAGTGTAGCACTAAATTTTCTCTGAAAATTACAGAGTTGGGGCGCTAAAATCTCTGATTTTAACAGAGCTCACTTGAAAAAAAAAAATCTGAATTCTCAGAGTTTTTCATGCAAATCAGAGAAATTTCTCTGACATCTGGGGGCCTGTTCGTAACACCCCCCTTCACTCTTGGCCGAAGCAGGTCTTGACCCGCTTGACTACCCCGCTGAGTTCAGAGAAGTGCTGGTACTGCTGACGCGACAGTTTCTTCGTGAGGAAATCTGCTGCCATATCACCAGTCGGATCAGTAGGTTAGGTCAACCTTGCCCTTGTCAACTTCGTCCTTGACGAAGAAGTACCGCAGCGCGATGTGCTTGGTGCGGTTGACGAAGCCAGGTTTGTTCGCGATTCTGATCGCGCTCTGGTTGTCGCAGTGCAGGCGAAAGTTTGTTGAGGCCGGAATTTTCGCAACCTGCAACAGCTCCTGAAGATATAGACCTTCGCGAATAGCTGTTGTTGCTGCGATGAATTCCGCTTCTGCCGATGACAGGGCAACCAGCTCCTGCTTCTGTGAATTCCAGGAGATGGGGCCGCTGGGCTCGAGGCGAAAGAGGAATCCTGTCCTGGACCGTTGATTGTCGGGATCAGCGGCGTGATCAGCGTCCACGTAACCGATGATGTTGAAAGATGCGGTTGGGACGGTGGAGTAGCACAGCCCGACATTAGGTGTGGAGATGAAGAATTGGAGTGCTCACAGAAGATCTGAGAGATTCTCAGCCGTTGGTTTGCGTGAGTACTGGGCCAGCTGACTTGCAATGTAGGATAGGTCTGGCCTGGAGGTGACTGAGGTGAAGAGTAGGCAACCCAGTTGCTGCTGTTAAGTCTGGAGTCCAGCTGGGGATAGGGCTTTGATGTCAGGCTTGTGGTTGGGTCCTAGAGTGCGGTAAGGGGTGGAGAGTGGTGCAGGTGCAATGTTGAACCGCTTGCCAAGTTCCTCTGCGTACTTGGCTGCTGAAAGGTGAATGGCTTCCGGCAAGTAGGTGATGTTGAGGCCGAGGAACTGCTTTACGTCGTGGTTGCAGGTGATGTCGTCGAAGTTTTCTCGAGCTGCTTGAGTAACTCGGGGCTTGACCCTGTGTAAGCAGATCGTCGACGTAAACCGTGAGCAGGATGTATTCGCCGCGGAAGTCGCGACGATACATCCCTGGGTCGTGAGGCAGCTGCTTGAACCCAATTTCAAGCAAGATGTTGTGTAGGTACTGCTGCCAGAGTTTCGGCACCTTTTTAATCCCGTAAAGGGATTTGCGTAGTTGGCAGACACGTGAGTCCCCGTCGCCGTATGTGTGCGGCTGCTCCACGTAGATCACAGCGTCTACTAATGCGTACAGGAATGCATTCTTCACATCGATTTGTCGGAGCAGCAGGTGTCGTGCGGCAGCGATGGCGAGCTGATTGCAGCCGCGCACTACCCAGCGCGCCTTGAATCGTTCGATCGTTCCGTCAGATGCGGTTTTCATGCGGAAGACCCACTTCCCAGAGAGGATCCTTCATCCCTTTACTGCTGCACGGTCGACGAGCACCCAGGTGTCGCGTGATTCAAGTGCCCTGATCTCTGCATCCACCGCCTCGCGCCACTCTTTGCTGTGAGGTCCCGTGAGTGCTTGCCGTGGGTTTTTAGGCTCGATGATGCGCGACGCCATTGAGGTGGCAGCGTGGAGCCCGAGCAGCTGCATTCTGGTGACGGTGGTATCGTGGCGATGCTGCGGGACGACCTCCTGCACATCGTCGTCGTCGCTTTCTGGCTTTGGTGGGGTTGATGGTGCTGCGCCTTTGCCGCTTCCGCTTCCTCCTGTTGCGCCTCCTGCTGCGCCCGCTCCTCCTTCTAAATCATTGTCGTCGTCGTCATCGTTGTGACGATCGCCCCTCGTGAACTTGCCTCAAGGGTCTTGCTCCAGAATGGCCGTGGCAGCTTTGTCCTCTGGCGTGGCGTAGCTGTGGCCGTCGTTAGCGTAAACGCGGTTCGCGTTCGTCTGCTCATCTTCGCGAAACTGCTGGAGAAAGAGGCGCTCGTAGAAGATGACGTCGCGCGCGTTCTTGACCTTCTGGCTCGGGAGGTCCAGAATGATCCACGCCTTGTATTCGTGGCTGATGCCGAGGTGGATCCCCCAGCGCGCGCGGCTCTTGAATTTGCCGATGGTAATGTTGGCGGTCGGTACTGAACCATGCATCCCCACACGCGGAGCATGGAGGTGTCGCCCTTGGTGCCTGTCCACTTCACATGAGGGGACAGGTTCCCAGCGGTTGCGGGGGTTGAGAGCAGGTTGTGCACCCGCACAGGGTGGTGCATTGTGAACGTCCGGTAGATTGGCGGAAGCTTCGAGCGTTTCATCAGCGCGCGCACCTTCGTCATGAGCATGCGATTGGTGCGCTCGGCTATGCCCTGCTGCTGATGCGCATAGGGGAGAGAAATGTGATGCTCAATCCCCTTTTGCGCAAGGTAATCCTGCAGCTCCTTGCCCCTGAATTTCGCTGCTCCATCAGACTGCCAAACCTTCAGAATCTCCCCGGATTGCCGCCGTGCGTGCGCCAACCACAGGCGAAATGCTTCGTAAGCTCTGCTGTGCGCTTCCACGTTCACGACCCATACGTAGCGCATTCCAACGTCGATGAAGGTGAGCGTGTATAACTCATCGTCAATGCCGCAGTGTCCCACGTTGAGAAAGTCGCTGTAGACTTTCTCCAGTTTGGCATAGCGATTGGTGCCTGGGTCGAGCAAGGGGAACAGTCGGTGGCTCAGCGCAGCTTCGGGGCAGATAGTGCAGTTGCGCGGGAGTATTTCGCCTCGTACTTTGGTGTCGTCAGGGCGCAGGAGTGCGCCAGGCGCAAATACCCCAGCTTCGATGCAGTTTTTTAGGGTCGTGCGTGAGGGGTGACCTAGGCGCTGGTGCCAAATGGCGTCGTCAGCGCGGAATCCGGAGGTGCGCATGTAGCGCGCGAGTGCTTCTACGGGATCCTCTTCAGGTGCTTGACCAGGTGTCGCCGCTGCTTCCTCGTTCTCTTCTGCTTCTTCGTTCGCCGTCGTTAACATCAGGGCAAGAAATTCCCTGTCGCGAATGATAGAGTACGGGATGTTGGTCTTAGGGATCGTGCTAGGGACAAATGCCAGTTCGCGCGGCTCAGGGGCAGGTCCGTAGACAGTGCGACGCGGGGTGGATGGTTCGTTGCCCCAATCAATGGTGTCCCAGGGGTCGCGCTCCGGCTGGAGATTAGGAGGGCGTCGTTCAGTAGGCATCACGGAGGGAAGGGGAGGGAAAATAGGTGTGAAAGAGAGAACGAGAAATGGAATGACTATGAAAGAAGTGAGTACAAATAGGAAACCCTAATTGGGTTGTACCCCCTATGGGATACCCCACTATAGCCTACACAATAGTATAAGCTATATAGTTCTGACACACCCCCATAGGCAAAGTGGGGGAGAACAAGGGGTCACAAGACCAGTCAAGCAAAGCAAAGCAAAGCTCAGGGTGGATCACAAAGTCACCACACATTCCGAGCACAAGTTCAAGGCCACATGGCCAGTTCACATGCAAGATCATATATAGAGATACACAAGAGTCAAGTAAGCAAGAGCAAGAGTATATATAGGCGAAGGTACAAGCAAGGTCAAGAGGAGAGCAAGTGAGGCAAGACAGGCACAAGACCCAACTGCGTGCAACAACGCTGATGATCACAAGGCGCAAGTGCCTTGGTGAAGACATCAGCAGTGTTGGCCTCAGAGGCCACGTACGCAAGTCGCAACTGTCCACGCTGCTGTAGCTCACGAGCAAGAAAGTAGCGGAGAGCAATGTGCTTCGTTCTGTGCTCCAGTCTCTGCTCTCGACACAAGGCCAGCATGGCCTTGTTGTCTACGTACAGGACTGGAGGAGAACGAGGCTGCTCTCCAAGGTCGGTCAACAGGTAGGTGAGCCAGCGTAACTCCTGTGCAGCCATAGCCCCGGCGTAGATCTCAGCCTCACAACTGGAGCCGAGAACAGAAGACGAGCGGGTAGCCCGCCACGAAACAGA